GGCGTCCGCCTCCCCGCCGGACTCACTCACAGCCCGCCATAAAAAAACTGTGGTTTGCCAGGGACTGATGTCTGAAAGACAGCCGTGTGCATCGTGTGATATACGGAGGAAAGGAGTCTGTAATCCCTGATACGCTCCACGGTGTCTGTCTGTGTGCTGCTTGCTGATGCCCATTTTATGAATAACGGCAAGCTTTTACGGGAATTAAGGCGAGAAAGTGCTGCATTGTTTTTCCGGGGGATTTGGGGGGGGGGGGCTTTAGTCTGCCCACCCACGTTAGGAGTGCCTCTTCAATTTAAGATATTAAAACTAAACCAAATACTTATTTTTGTTGCTTAGCTTTGACGGGATTTAAAAGGTAGTTTTAAGTTGTGGTTTGTACATTTTATATTTACTCTGTACGTTACTTTGTATAATGAAGGTTGCTTCTACAGTGCTTTATAAGTAAAGTTTACCTACTTACTTATGCCACTATGTTTCCATCAGGCACAAAAAGCACCAGATTAAACACAGTTATCAGACAGAGACCGGCAGGTCTGTGGTGATTAAATATTTAATGGACACTCGAAGAATGTAATGGAGTCACCGAGGTTGGTAACCTTAAAGAAACTGCAGATTAACAGTGTCTATTATAAGTGACAAAGAAACAATTGTCTGCAAACAGTCTTTGTGTGCAGCATGGGGATTTTGAAGGAAAGGGTTAATGAAACATACTCGACACCCAGTCCCGTTGCGTAACCATAGAAATGTGAGACCGTAATCATAGCAACAAGCACTTAAAGTACAGAACAATCAAGAAGGCTAACAGGAGCAATGTGAATGCACCTGGTATAGGAATTACTACGGGCATTTAAAATATCAGTATGAGGTAACAGGATGCCCTTGAGCAGACGATGGAGATGCAGCATAATACCACAGCCAGGACTCTATACTCATGAGGACAATTGGGCTTTTATTGAAGCGGTCACCTCTGGTTGAAAGGCACTGATTTGAGCCGCTTGTGAATCCCTATTACCTGCGAGTTCCTCCCCAGTCCCCCTGGGGGACGAGAGGCGATGTTGCCAATCAGCCAGAATGAGATCCAGTGAATCTCTATTAAGTATCACTATTTGCTGTGGGAAGATGGCTAAACTTAGGCTTGCAAGACGAACTATTTGTCCTGCGAACGTGTGCTGCAGTAGGAAGACGGATGCATAAAAACAAAAGATCATTTTAAATAGGGGAAAAAATGTTTTACGTCTAAAAAACATTCAGTGTATTGTTTCCTGCCTGGGATAACTATTTTTTTGCCTCAAATGTAGTGTCTGATGAACTTTATTTGAATGTTCATGTGTAGGGTAGCTGAATTTGTGTCTATAAATCTTTCCTAGTGCAACTGGCCTTGACAAATAGTTCAACTGTGCTTCTGGGGACAGTGGTTTTACAGAATTCATATGTGGAAGGAAGTACAGTATGAAATAATGTCCAACAGCTTCATCTACAGTGGATTGACAAGGTCAGAAAGTAGCTCGATGCCAGTTACTCAAGTGGAAGACACACGTCTTCACACATTACCATCTGTGGGTTCGGTTTAAACCCCCCCTGACACCTGCTCATGTGGGCTGTGGCAGAGCTGCGAAGTCCAGCTTTGCTCTTAAATGCCGGAAGAGACAGCCGTTTATTTTCTCCAAAGTGACATACATGACCACGACAAGGCATGCGATAGGCGCATTAAACACACGCATCACGTTCCAAGCGTCATTGCAGACTTAGCTACTAATAAATCTGTGTATAAATACACAGGGAATGAATTCCTACATAATCAACCTCAGTAGTGTCACTTAAACTAGCCACTGTTAATCTTCAATTTCTTTAAGATTCGCAGCCAGTGTCGCAACATTAAATACGCTGAGTTTCCCGATAAATATTTAATAATCGGCACGGACCTGCCTGTTAGGCCCGGGAGGGAACCATTTTTCTCTACGGCAGAGTTGTGAGGTCACAGCATGGCTCAAGGTGACAACGTCAGGCATTCAGCTGGAAAATGGGTTCGGATTCCAGTGATCCTAAGCAGTGGTGTCAGATGGCTTCCCATCAGTCTTTGAGGAGAGGGTCTATCAACAACGGCGAAGCGATTACTCTAACGCAATTATATGGCACAGGGGCTGCCAGCTTGCCAACCGCGGGCCATCCGGAAACCTTATTTTGGCCCGTGATTACCTAGGTCTGCCCTGATTGCTTTGGTTTAGGAAATATCTCCCATCGCGACTGGGAAAAAGCTACGTGCCGCAGCTGTGAGGTGCAATCTCATCTGTAGTAGCTTCTCCCCCCTTCTCCTGCGCACCCCTTTCACGGGATGTACATGGGTATTCTCATTTATATCCGAGATGGAGGTCTGCCGACAGCGCCCATGTTGATAGCCCTCCAGCACTCGCACCTCTGTCTGTTTTGCAGGGGAGAAAATGCCGGTTCGTATTGCGACTGTCTTGTCCATTATGGCCTGATTATTTTCCCATAGTCCTCAAAAGTGTAGCTTTATCCAAGTTTGCCTGCTCAATACGTCTCTCATACATCATAGAAATGGTTTCTATGTAACTGTGTCTATGTAACTGTGTCTAGAAGTTAAGAAAGCTGGGATTTATTTATTATGATATAGTTATGGTATTATGTGATAACGGCTGTGATCAGTGGAATGCTAAGGTTTTTATAGAAGTTAGTAGTTTAACATTTAATATTTTCCTAGTTGTAAAATGAGTGATCAAGTAAACAGTAGTAAACTCTGTTGAATCAGGGAGAAACTCCTCCCCTCGATATCAAACCATTCTCTATACAGGCCCGCAGTCGGCTTCATGAAGTTCAGTCCTATCAACAAGTAAGCATTTAGCTGCTTACAGCCTGCTCAAGGTTATTCTTGTGCTTTCATCAAGTCTGTTTCCTCACGTAAAGCTGTCTTTTTGTTTATGCGTTGTTTCATTTAAATGTCCATAAATAATGTCAAAATGATAGACTTCTGCTTTTGGGAATTGCACAGAAGTGTATTCTGTTTTGAAAGTGATGCTTTTGCGTTTATCAAGTAGACAAGTTTATGAGTATCTAGACAGCCTCTTTAACCCTCTTTGTGGGACATTAATGTAAGAACATAAGATCACAGAACAGGAGTAGGGGCCGTTCCAGTCTGTGGGGCTATTTGCATATTCTGTATCTGTGTGTGGGTTAATCTGTATTTAATGCAGACTTCGATGAATCTTAGGACTGTCGCTTTACTACTAAACTCAGAAGCTTATTCCTAATTCCTTGTTCTTAATGAGGTTTCCTTTGATGAGACCTGATTCGGTCGCCACATAGTTTCAGTGAGTATCTGTGGTCATCAGGGTTGACCTCTTCCCCTTTTCATTTTGAATCTTGCTCCTCCCCACCCCTAACCCTTGGCACCATTGCTTGAAACCAAAAGTGATTTTGTTTGTCAATTAACTACCATTGTTCATTTCTGATCAGTGCTGTTAGCTTAACAAAGGCACTTTAAAATATCAGCCTGTTAAGACCAAAAGCGATACCTATTATACCTATTGTCACATTGCGGATAAGGGGAATAAGCAAATGTCGGAGAAATGGGGAAGAAGATAGAGACAGAACACTGTCTTGACTGTTAATGGAGTAAAAGCTTAGGTGGGGAATGTTGGTTTGGGATATGGGAACCCTTTTATTAGAATTCTGTCGAAAGTAAACAGTAAGTCACTATTACCCTGGTGAGAGCTGAGAATTGCAATGTGCTCCTCATTTTGAGCAGACAGGAGGATGGGTGGATGGAGCTGAGTGATATCCTACACAGAACAGCCTTTCCCTTCGCTTCTCACCAGGTCTCAGCAGTCAATGACTCATCCATCACATATGATGATTGCCAAACTAGATGGAAATAAAAGGCTCTCGCATCCCATCAGAAAGCTCACGTCAGCTAAGGAGACAGGTTCTTGGGTGGGATCGTGAACCATGAATACTGACTTGTGTAACCTTGCCAGGAACCCAAGTTGTTAGTCATCTTAAAATCTAAAAATAAGAAAACTGTATGGAACTTATCTATACTGATTCTGTCACCTTAAGGGATTTAATTGTGCATCGTCACTGACCTAGAGTATGATCACCACTTCCCCAGGAAGACTGTGACTTTCTCTTGTCTGGAATTACAACTTGCCGTGCCCCCTCACCTCAGACAGAGCGATTGCATGCTCTCTGTCTGACCTCCTCAGATGCTCACTCCTTCTTTGCTTTGGCTATCCGGTATCAAAGTTCAAGCCTTCCAAAGCTGCCAGTGGAAGATCACCACCACACCTACAAGACTTCATTAGACCATACACCTGTTCAAAAGCACTAAGGCCCACAGTGTCAGGTGGCCTGACAGTTCTGTGTTTGGCGGCTCTCAGAGAGCGGGAATCAAAATTGTGCTTGTTTTTGACCTCAGCACCTGTCAGAGGAAGCGGCTTCACCTCAGCTTTGCAACTGCTGCATTCCTCTTGGTGTTCAAAAAAGGACTCAACACTCACCATATCCAACGGTACTTCAGCACCAAACTTCTGACAGCCTCTTGATTGGAAACCAGAGGCCACTCATCATCTGCAGGCTGAACTTTACCAACTCCTAAGCACTGTCTCTTATTTGTGGAGTCCCCTCCGAGTGTGTTTGTACGCATACATTTTCCTTAACCTTATACAGTGCTGGGTTGCAATGACACATACATTTTAATCCACTCATTTCCATTACTGTAATGCCTGGAGTTCTATTCTAAATGTGTATTTTTAGCTATTGTCAAACATTTTTTCATGTTGTGGTTATTATGTGTGCTCATTAAATCTTAAATTGGCCAGCTATCTTCACACTGCCATATCAAGGACTAATATGATAGAATCTATATGTAGATTTTTCTATGGTGCACAATTTGTACTGTACTATTTATGTAATTCCAACTAATTGTTTGCACTGACCTCTAAGTTTATTTGGACAAAGCACTGAATGTAAATGTCTCTCAGTTGGTACTACAGGCAATCAGCACAAGCCATGCATCACAGAAGGACCTCAGACGAAAGTGTGAGTGCACTGCAGAGGAACATTCATGGGAAAAAAACTGTTCTGTAGACAGACAGCTGGATTTGAAGCACAACCTTCTGAGTGTGAAGCCGCCCCTGAACTGTGAGGCTTCGGAATGTGCAACATCGTGGGCTGTTGACTCATCGTGTAAATAACAGCATGCCAATGCAGTCGACCGGGTAAGTGTCTCCTTCCGAAATTATGCCGAAACCCTTCCAGAAGTAGCTTATTCATCAGAATAATTACACGACGTGAAAGCCCTGGGGTCGGCACCTTCACCTTCAGGGGAGGACGGGCAGAGAACACCTTGACCTCTGGCCAGATGCCTGCAAGAGCTGCCAAGCCATTTCGCGTAATGAGGCTATACTTTTTAGGCATGATGGGAAAATTGATTGAGCAAAACAAGCAGGGGACAAGGGGCCGGGCATCTGCAAACCTACATACACTGGCTAAAATAATTACCATTTACCTTTGGACCTTGCGAAAACCCATCAAAGATGCATAAACTCTCACTCTCACTTAGAAAAGTCAAGTAAGGACTTCATGTCATTTAGAGCCACCTTTCTAAGGGCAGGAACACAGCCCTTGTGTATGAGATTTGGGAGATTAGCTTTGATTTCTTGATCATGCTAGGGGCTAAATTACCAATTATGTTTAAACTCCAAACTCAGGCTTTAATGAAAGCAGGATTTGTGCCCACGGACTTCACCCATAGCAATTAACTCAGAGCAAACCACTTCCCAAGCAAAAATATGATTAGCAATATTAGCACAATTGTGAAGTGAAGAGGCCCTTCCTTGCTGACTCAGCTGCATACAACCTTTTCACAGTGCCTGGAATGTTACAGCAGGAATGAAAGGAAGGGCTTGATGTTTCTGGATTTTTTTTTTAGCTGTCCAGGGGATGCAAGAGGGCATTTAAGGACAAATAACTCAGAAAGGTGATTTTTCGGTGGGACAACGGGATGGCGGACCGGTGAATTTCTGGACAGGCAGTTTCGGAGGACAGCCGTGTCAGAAAACAGGGTCTTAAATTTCCTTCAGGGTTTGAAAATTTCACAGCTGATAAAATATACAGTACATGAAGAGCTCATCAGGAAAAGGGTGAGATGGCATTGCTGTTATGGTCTGGCTTGTGAATGTAACAAGTTAATGAATATCCAGGCATACGGGGCATGATGTATATCCTTCCAGGCCATTCGATTCTGAGACCATCTTTCTCAGAGTGTATAAAACATGAGATTCAACCACGAGCCGCATTTGCCCTTGAGAAAAGGTGCATCCTTTTCGGAATGTGGTCCCAAATGACCCCTTACAGGTTACTTAGTGTGACACTCCTGAATCTATTGCCACAGATGCATCCATAATGCATTTCGTCTTTCCCCTAAAGGCTCCGGGGAAAGGCTTTCTTAAAACATGACACTACTCAGGGGCCTCCGTCTGACAGCCCCGGTGTCAGAGCATCGGCGCGACCCGCTGCAGCAAACTTTCCTGTGTGTCACCAAACGCCCAGTAAAGTTCCATCAAGAAATCCCTGAAAATGCTTACCCAAGTGCTTTTGTGTAGTTAAACTGTATCTATGGAAACTACCAGTAGCACAACGCCATGTAAACAACTAGCCCAACCTGGCTCTTCTGATAATGGTCTTAGGGTCAAATAATTTAACGCTTCGTTGTCTTTTGTGGACACGTAGACAGGAGCCATGTCATCTAATGTCATAAATTCAATTAATTCGCTAAATCAGTGTTTCTATTATGTGATAACAGAATCTAAGAACAGATTAGTTCTTCATTTACTGTGAAAGCTAGCATTAATCCTTTTCTGGAGGCGATTGTTTCCTGAGCCATGGGTCAATTATAGATATTGGTTCTGTTGGTACATCCAGAGACATGGAAATGGAAAGTGGGCGGGATATTCTTATGATGTCAATCACTGATTGGTTCTCCCACCACTTTCCCCATTTTGATTGACAGGTGACAATATCCCTGCCCACTCAAGGTTCCTCCAGTCAGTAAAACCTGCTCAATTAGCATGTAAACGTGGCTTCTCTTCAGGCCGGCTTTCCACCCTAAACCTCATTTCAAAGCTACATTGCTACATTTAAATAAATAACGACACATTTTTCATTCTTTCCGGTCTCTGATCCATGTGCACCTCCTCACTCTTGCGAGTAAGTTCAGCTATCCATCATATAAAATTTGTCTAAGTAAGTAACTGAGAATTACACAGCTACTATTATTATTATGTATTTTATATACGACTGCCTTGCGAAGTGTGTGGTAAAACAGGACGGGTGGGAATATATGAGGCAGCATCCTTTCAGCCTAGTTATTGTTCACCTTGAACTGAAAAGCATTTATTTATTTAAAATTAGGGAAACTGCCATTTATTATTACTATTACATTAACAGCAATAGTAACAATAATGATAACCAGGGGATGCAGCAGAGAGGCCCCACCTGAGATTAAATCATGACCTTTCTACCCCGAGTCAAACGTGTTTCTGCTCCTTGGCAAGCAGGTGCAGGCTAGCATGACCAGAGAGCGGTCAGGTCATGTGACCAGCCCCTTGGGCCTACTGCATGGTCCCGTCACACCTGCTAACCAAACTGACTCCCTCTTTCTCCAAACGTCCTTCTGCCACCCCGAACGACCTGGAACAAAAATAAACGGACCTTAGGTACCACAGCTACACCCATTCCAAGCATCCGTATCGGTTGTCAGCCAAGGACTCTCCCTCCCCCCTTCAAAAAAACAAAGGCACGGGGAGCAGCGGATCTCTCTAGAAGAATAGTGTACTCATGACGAACCCCCGGACCGTGACGGGAGATGTATTGCGAGGCTGATTACCGCCAGGAGCTGCGAAGAGTACAGCCGGGGAGAAGCAAATCTGTGCAGCAGCTCAAACACGACCAGACTTGCATCCTCCACACGCTGCTCACGGCCGGGCCGCGACACATCCCACATTAAGGTGACAGCCGCGGCCGTGCCCTCGAGAGTGACAGCCGATCCCTTATCTAGACGAACAACAAAACGTTATTTAATTAACGTAACAGATATTAATTCCCCAAACATATGCCAGTACTTTCTACATGAATTATTATTGTTTACATCAATCAGTGGTAGTTTCGGCCCATTAGCAATGGATTAAAGACATTTTTAAATGCATAAGGACGCATAAAGGTACGAAGATGTTTAGCATAATTGAATTTATCTACCACCAGTCATTTATTTACATCAGAGCGTAATTCTTTACAAATATAAAACACCACATAAGAATCCTCTGTCTGAAGCATTTTAAACAGGTAATACAAACATGCTCTCTGCTTACCACAGTTCCTCTGCCTGCCTTCGGATAGTATTCATAAATTATTCATTAATCAGGCTGCCTTAAGGCCTTCCATAGTGAGATCTGTTGCAGCACTGGGTATTTCATCTCCAGCGTTCTCTCAGCTGAAGTTTTTGCGCTTTGTTCTGATCGTTATCCCGTCTCGCGTGTGATCCGAGGGGATATTAAACCAGACGGGGGCTCCCCCGCCATTTAACAAGGGTCACAGTCCCGCCTCTCTCGTTTATCTTAAAGAGATGAAATGCTGGTTATTCTTTTTCCACAAATCACCTGGGACCCTTGAGAGGCCACAGTCCCGAGAGCCCTGCCATTGTGTGACAGTCGTGTGAAACGCGTGGCGACCTTTTCCCCGGCTGCCGTTACTCTGGGTAACATTTGAGGTGGCTGTCTTCGGATGAGGGCTGGATGGGGATCAGTAAAAAAGGAAAAGGCAAAAACAGAACCGCTGCACGTGCTCTTTAGTAAACTCACTACCCAGCTAGCCACGTCGGGACAAATCACGTGACCTGCGCACAAACAAATTTGTTCCTACGACAGCACACCTACCAAAGGCCTGTTAGGGGCTGCGCATCACGCACGCCAACTTGGAGACGAGCTACCATTGGGAGAACAAGCGCAGAGTCCGTAAATATAGACATCCCTGGAGTCGGCCATTGTGCTGAAGTCAGCCATGTTATTTTCCCTCTGTTATTTATTTATTTTTAAGTAGTTTGAGACAAGGGGAGGAAAAAAAAACTTGCAGGTTTTTATTACTCGTATTACTTACACTTGCAAGTCAAAGAGGCAAAAGATGAAAGATTGTTTTTAATTAGTTTCGACCATGCCCACGAAAGCATTACCTTTGTGTCCAGGAGAAATCAAGGAGAGCCGTCAGACTGTTTTTTATAAGCCCACTCGCCTATGACAGCTATTTGATCTCAATCTGATTTCTCCTTGAGAGAATACTGGCCAGGGCTGGGGGCGCTGACAGCCTCCCCAGCACTGTGGACCAGGCCTTTGCCGCACACTCGTCAGTCCCCCGGTACCAACAGAATGACCTTGACGACCTTGGGGGAAAAAAATCGGCACGAAGACGTAGTTCGTGAGGGAAGGCGTACCCTCCCTGGGGGGCACTGTGTCCCCATCTCTGGATGAGACAAGGAGTGACACGTGTCAAGCCAGGGGGGGGGGGGTTTGGGGAGGGCACTGGTGTATCGACCGTGAGCCAGGTCTACGGCTGACATTGAAACGAGGTTCTGATTCTGCTACAACTCCTACACGGGACTCAAACCCCCTCCCCCCTGGATTGTCGAATAAAAAAGGGCAAGAATCAGGTCTGGCTCTACTTATAGACAGAAAAGGCAGCTGCCTAGGGCCTTCGAACTGCCTGAGCTGCAGAGGAAGTGAAATGATCATTGTTTTTCTTGGTATGGGAGCCTCCCAAGTAAAGCTTGCCTAGGGCCCCTGAAAAAGAAGAACCACCGATGGCCGGAATCCACGACTCCCATCTAAGCCAAGAACGATACCTTTGCTCCACAGAGGAGGAGGAGCAGCTCATCGATGAAGAACTGCCATTATCAGTCAGGTCGCATCCATCCCGAAATTTCCAGAACGAAAGACTCATCTTTGCAGGGAGTCGGCGCATAGGCCCAACACTGACATCAGGCCCACAAGGTTTAATCCTCAATGGCCGATAAGCCTGCAGAATCACATGATGCTCTGGCGTCTCCCACAAGTCTGCCTCTCACCTTGCATCATCTGACAGGCAGATCACGCATTGCCGAATACACATGCTGCAAACCTGCAGGCAAATGTCAGTCACTTCTGGCATGCTGATTGCAAATATCAATCTGAGGCAAATACCAAGCCGGACGTTGTTATAACGATGCTAATAGCAGACACAGTTATTTCATGCCTCTGGTCTCCATAGCAACATGTCACAATCTGTCCATTCTCCATAACTGCTTAACCAGACCTGGAACTTACCCCAGGAAGAACAGGGCAGGAGGCAGTGAACAACATGGCATTCCAACAATGACGGAGATGCATAAATGGCAATGTTTACAGCCAAGAAGTAAAGGCATCTGCCCCCCCACCCATGCCCCCAATCATGATTTTACCACAAATTAAGCCCATCTGTCAAAAGTGCAATTACCCGCATTAAAACAGCTAAATTCCTTAAGACCAGTAACGTGTGTTTGCCATGAACAACATTCTGTACACAAGATAACGAGCCATTAGCATAAGCAAATTGGGTCAATACATTTGCTCCATGGAGGAATATATTATCAGCAAACCTGGAGGCTGTTTTGAGAGATTAACTCACATGAAACGAAGAAGGAATCAAAGAAAGGTTAAGTTGGAGTGTTGGAGTGTCTGGGCAAGAGGAAGCGGGCGAAGTTCAAATGCGGCGAAAGTGGCACGTATTCACTGGGAATCAAGCCTTCCCAGATTAGTAAAGTAAATAAAAATAAGGGATGGTATTTAACCGTCCAATAACTTTCCATAATCGCCTATTCAGTACAGGACTGTGCTGGGCCTGGAGCGCGTGTGGAGGAGCACAGGGGACGAGGCAGGGGCAAACCCTGGACGGAATGCCAGTCCACCGCAGCACACACTCACTCAAGGTGGCAGTTCATCAAATTGCATGTTCTTAGAGGGAAGGAGAAACCGGAGTTTCTGGAAGAGATCCAAGCGAATACGGAGAGAATAAGCAACCACAGAGAGCAGGGGAGTCTTTCACTGTACTGAGTCACTGTGCAGCCCTGAACTGTTATTTACTGTCCTCAACGGACACCCACAACGATTTAAGAATTTGCCCTCTGAGCTCATTTAAATAGAAATGATTTAAACGGCCATCAAACACATGGCGCATTCTCATTTTATGCTTTATCACTTCATTAATTATATAAGCAAATGACAGCAAGCGAATCTACCTACAGGGGTAGCAGATACAGTGCAAAATGTCTGTATCAATGCAGCATAGCCCGCCGCCCTGGAAAATGTGGACCCGAGCTGATTTTGCAGTCCGGTCCCGGGCTCTGCTTGAAAAGACAGATGATACTGGAAATCTGAAAGTACAGACTGCTCCAAACGGAACAGAACAAACCCAAAGGGCTGGGGGTGGGGGGGGGGTACCTGTAGTTACCAGGCAACGGAGTCAACCAGAGTCCTAACAACGTCTATTAGCACAGGCAGGCTCGGGAATTTACACACAGGTGTGGGAAAACGGACACTCCTGTGGGTGAAAGGGATCTATCACTGCGATCTTCTCTCGAAAGATCAGCCTCACCTTCAGCAGCCAGGACAGCAGGGGAGATGTTCAGTGCAGTACATGCGTCGGTGGACATTTCTTTCCACGCAAACTCCTTCCTGCCTGTGTTTTTCTACCTGTGCACAAAGTCAGCCATCGAACGATAGGTTGACGGGGGCCCTTATTCATGAGGACAACAAAGCATTCACTACACAACTCAAATTAAGGAGCGATGAGAAGAAGGCTTTGATAGGCAAGATGGGGGCGCCTCCTCGGGAAGTGCAGGGACTCTTAAAGGAGTCACCTCGCTCTGAATCAACCTCTCAGGGACATTTAGCGTCAAGCGAGGTTAGCAGTAGTGCCCCCCCCCCCCCCGGCTTCGTTGCGCTGCATACCAGGAGGACGGACTTTCCTGAGATGGAGGTAGATGGAGATTCAGATCTTGCATTAGCTGCCCACTGTAATTCTGTCATCTGAAAGATATCAGCTTCTCTGAGGCTTCAAAGTGATCCCCATGAATGTCCTGTAAAGGAAATTGAGCAGGGCATCAATACAAGACCCCCCCCCCCACCTCATGCTGGAGGGGTCACACTTTATATATGGGGGGCAGTGTGTGGCTCAGAGGGTTAGCATTATGTGCCTGTGATCGGAAGGTCGCCGGCTCAAATCCCCTGGGCAGCAGTGATTTTTGAGTGAGGCCGTTTGCCCCAACTGCTCCAGGGACTGCCTGACCCTGCCTTCTCAAAAGTGTGCCTCTTTGGATAAAAGGGTCTGCCAAATAGGTACAAGGTAAGAGAAAGTATCCACAGGTGACTGGTAAAAGGTGGCATGATTCATGCCGTGGTTTGGGGGGTTGGGGGAGCATTCGGGGCTCTACGAGAGAACATTAGCAATCCCTGCAATAGGGAGGTTCAGATCCTGACACAGGCTTCTGGCTGGTTCCGGTGACACCGAACATGGCGTGTCTCCAGACTGGCTGCGCTGAGGTGCGCGATGGGCAGGTACATGGCCTCCAGACAGATTTTTTCTTGCCTACCCCGTGTCGGGGCCACATTAAAAACCAGGACGCAAGAGGGAGATGCCACCACTCTTAATGAGGACGGATGATATCCTCTCCCAAGCCTGAGATGTACGGTTTGGCTGCGTGGCATATACTGTATATACGCCACCGATTGAGGATGCAGCGCATGGATATGTGCAGTTCCCTGCAGTTTTAAACATGCCTTATCGAACGTTGCATTATTCTAAGGGACTGGGTCTTATAACTAAACTGTGCTTTTGCATAGAGTATCATCCTGTTCACTTTTCCTAGATTTGTTATTTATTATTTACGTGTTTACTGGATGAATAATTATTTATTGTACTGATGTGAACACTGTGGCCCTCTGGGCCTAAAGATAAACATATTCTTTTAACTGGTAATTTCTAATAAAAGTTTTAATTATATGTTTGTGTATATACACATACATCCATATTCAAACTAGATTTATAAACTGTACAGATATTTTTCATGTATAAAATTCGACTGATGAGCGACTGAGGTCTCCCAGCAATGGCAAATCTTCACAGGCACTTGGGAAGGAACAGCCGTCATGGGAGACTGCCGCCCCAACAGCCAGTGTCTGCGCATCAAAGAGCGATGCAGGGAAATGCACAGGAGACCGACGTCTGCGGTGGGACATGCGGCGGTAATCCGTCATGGAGCAAGATGAAGAGTGAGGCCCCCTCTTTGGGTGGGACAACCCTCCTGGATGTTTCGGGGCTGGATTTCCAAGCCACTGGCAGGACGTGATGTCGCAGCAAGATGAAAGGGGTAGCTTAGGTGGGATGCCCACCCCCAGACACAAAAAAAGCCCCTTCTGACAGGTATCCTGTGCCAGAGATCTTAGTCACAGCACACAACTCCTTCTGTGCCCGCTGATCTGTGCCATGACCTTTAAGAAACCATATGACCTTTCTTGACCTTTTTGAGCAGATCATGTGGAAAAGTTATATAAATTATCTCACCTGAATATCATACCATCTTTTCTTTTAGAAATCATTCTTGCATACTTGTTAACATTTATCTTACAGGTTATTTCCCCCACATATCTATTAAAAATAAATTTTAGAAATTTCAGCCTTGTCTGAAGATTAAAAGATTAAAAATTCGGACAAACGAATAGGCACCAATGTGTAGGAATACCGCTGTATAAATTAGAAATTAATGGTTCATAGACAAAATTTTCCAGAACCACTTATCCAAAGCAATGTTACTAGACCCCTTTCCAGGAAGGACAGGATCCGAGGAACTATGGGTAAGTTAAAGGTGAGAGGAAAGCTGTGCAAACAGGAACTGAATCCACATCCACTGCTGCTGGCTGAGCCACGAAGACACGTCCAGCTCTTAGGCTGTGAGTTAAGGGTGCAAGATTTCTACTTAGAAGCAGTTTAGCACCAGCCCTACCTGGGGAAAAAAAAATCTATCTTTGCTAATTCCCATTTATGGTGTACAGGTGGTTGATCTTCCTCCTTTTCACTAAAGAGGTGGTGCCAATTCCCCCCCCCCCCTTACTGGACTGCCTGGAAACGACTGATGTAACATTTGTACAGGAGAGAATTTTTTCTTAGCTATGAGATAATGGATTATTACTATCTAAACGAAGACCTTCAGATGAAAGATCACAAAAGCTTCCGTCTACACCCGCGCAGCTTGCAGGTCTGATGGATTTATCTGCTCAGTTCTCCAAATCTAATTAATATTTCCAGTCTTAAAATTAACTTTAATTATTAACTGGTCTCTTAATTGTACAAATATATGGACCGCACAGAATACAACCCCAGGAGTCCTCATCACGTAATTAAATTGTACCTGGATTTCTGGAATGGTGCTGGACTTTACAAAGCTTTCGTTTAAATGTTTTGCCTTTGGATTGAACACGTACCAGATATCATCATTTTCAGAGTGAACCAGGGAATAAAAAAATGAAATCCGAACATCCAAAACAGCTGCAGTAATCAAAAGGAAACTCTTCAGGTTGCCACTCTACAGATTTACCCTTATTACCGCTACCTTGAAAAAGGTTAGACTCCATATTAAATGGACATTTTGCGTTCATTTGCCTGCTAATGAAACTGACTGACTGGCATAAACAAACTGTACGCTTTTGAAGGAGGAACAAAATTAGAAAAGATTTTAACTACAAAAAGCCTTACGTAACAATAATTAGTACCAAAAAGGAGGGACCTTGTGTGTTGACGAGTACAACAGTATCTGCTACAAAAAACAAAATGAACTATTAAACAAAAATACCTAGTGTAAATGTAAGTGTAAGCTCACCAGCAGGAAATGGCACCGTGGAACGGTCAGGAGTGTGTTCTCCAAAAGCATAGCTCCTAACCATGGTAAGTTAGCAATTTACACAGATGGAACCATGCAACTGAATGGGTCCAACTATGTAAGTTGCTACTGGGAGCTGTTGGGAAACACACCCCAAATTGATATATTAGTAATAAACAGATGTGTTTGATGTAAACCAAGGCTTTCGCTGATGATTAAGGTTTAATATGAATGATAAGTCCTATGCAATCGGGAATCAAGGATCAGGACCAGTTCAGTTGCTAGAAGAATGGTTCCATATTTGTAAATCGGGGATCGAATACATTATTTACTATGACATCCTTATACTTACGCTATACTTGTACGTCATCTTACAAATATTGTAGCAGATAGTAAATAGTACGTGTTTGGGACCAGCATGGATTTTCACTAATTTCACACCATAAAACAATCTGCAATGATGGAGGGGACCGGCCAGTTTTGTCCAGAGACATGGCTGCCACATTAACATCACTCTCCTCTAAATTACCCCCACACCTCATGGCAGGACAATTCAGCTATAGTTCTGATGACCAGTGGCATGGTCAGGCTCTTTCTTCAATTCGATATTCTCATTATGGTGTTAATTAGCCAATTTCCGAACACAAAATGCGCTTCGCTTTGACAAATAAGTAGCGATTTTTCAGAAACAGAATGACGTCCTTGTGTCGTCGCTAATGACCTGAAGTGGCTGCATTTGGATTTTTTCACGTAGAGTGCGGCACAATTAGCTGCCTATATGATGGACGGGCCGTTCTTGATGAATGCCCAAACACAAAAACCTGTGAAACCAACAGCCAAGTAGCCCTGGGTTAAGGAATTTGTTTACTTTCCATTTGGTTGCTCAGCTGACCCATTTAACCGAGAGAAATCAAGTTAATCGTAGGCAACTTTGAGGTTGAGAGACCACACACATCGAACTACATAAACCAGTAGCTCCTGGGAAGATCTCGAGCCATCAAAGTGCCCCTACACCCCACCATCACAAGGGCTTCCTTAGCCCACGTCTCAGTAAATCTCTTCCAAAATAAAAAAATGACAAAATAAAAAATGAGCCAGAAACTTATTTCTCTCTTCAAATTAAGTGGGGTAATTCTTTCCCGTCAAAACTCACCGCAGGGGGATTATATGCAACCTCAAGAGAATTGATTTCAGTGTCCCCTCAAGCTCGTGACCTGTCTCTGAAACACAGCTGACCTCGTTGGGTTGCCTGTGAGGGCTTCCTGTAAAAAACACATTTTCCCACTGGAGAGGTAGGGGGGGAAACTGATGCTTATTAAAAGACAGGAAAACACATTTCACGGTCCCGTCATCTGTGACGGCACATTCAAAAACATCATCATTAAGATCCAGACAACGGACTGGCATCCCATCCACGGTGTCCCCTGCCTCATGCCCTGTGCTGCCTGGGATAGGCTCCCGGCTCTTCATAACCCTGTACCGGATAAACGCTTCCAGAAGATGGATGGATGGCTGACTTAAAAAAACACTTTATTTTAAAATACATTATAGCTTTTTAATGCTATTCTCGGAAAGGCTGAAGGGGATTGTATTTTACAGGCAGCTCATTAGATGCCTATGTGAATGTGCATCTTAAAGGAACAGGGTCAGAATTTATGACGCATCACAGAGCCTATATAGTGGGATTAGCACATCGCTCATAACCAGCCCCCTGTGTCTGACTGCGGAGTTCTCCATTTGTTTCTGCGATTTGTGATCTCGTACACCAGCCTCTCCAACTCAACAGAGATATGCTCAGATGTTCAGGTGCGATAAAAGATTGACTTTTGAGACAGGTGGGAAAGACAACGATTCGAACATGACCAGAAGCCTAAGAAGACAAAGACCATGCAGGTGATTTGGCTCAAATGCTAATGTACAGCTCTACTACACAACACCCTGATGTTAACTGAGGAGAGCAGTCATCTGTTACCGATTTGGTCTGTTACTCAGTGCTGTGTTTATCAAACTAGTCCTCTGGGTCCCCCAGACGGTCCACATTTTTGCTCCCTCGAAACTCCCAGCCAATCAAGAACACCAGGTGTGCAGGTGTGTTGGGAGCCAGGAGAGACCAAAAATGTGGATTATTTGGTGTCACCAAGAAATGGGTTGAGAAAGACTGATTTAGCGTGACAAACAAACAATCTCCTGAAACATACTCCACGTTACCTCATAACCAGATGATACAACAGGCCACCCACAGACCAAACCCAGTCAGATTTTGTTAATGAAAAGTGCGTTATAAATAAAATGTATTATTATTTATTATTATTACTACCAAAAGACTGGAGACTGAATTTTATCAACAAGCACAGCCAGGTGGAAGAATTCTGATGACGACGCACTACCATGAACGAATAAGCAACCTGAAGGACATATTCATCAAGTACATCTTTGCCGGCTGCAAAGATCTACAGTAACAGCTGCATTATACAGTTTCCCATACAAAACGTGCTCTACGCAGCACTGAGTAATTGAAGTTAACTGCTGCAAATCGGCCGCTTTGTGTGCCGGACTTAATAGAGCCCAGCATTTGGAGATTCATTCACAGTAAGGGCAGGGCTCTCAGGGCTGTTACTCGGATGCCCCATGACAGAGTGAGAGAACGTTCAGGACATGAAATCCCAAACGGGTGACCAGAGGAAAGTCAGCAGACACATCAAACAATAGCAGGCCACAGGCTGCGAGTAAAAGGAAATCAACATGTACATTTCTTGGGTTTACAGAGAATGGGCCAAAAAAGAAAAAACATCCAACGAATGGTGGTTTTCTGGGCAAAAATGCCTTGTTGATGCCAGAGGGCAGAGAAGAATGGCCGGACTGCTTCATGATGGATAAAAGGCAACAGAAACTCAAATAACCACTCATTACAAACAAGGTATGCAAAGAGCATCTCTGAATGCACAACGTAGGGCTACAGCAGAAGAAGACCACACCGGGTGCCACTCCTGTCACCTAAGAACAGGAAACTGAGGCTACAGTGGGCATGGACTCACTAAAACTGGACAATAGAAGACTGGAAACACATTGCCTGGTCAGATGTCTCGATTTCTGCTGCGACATTCAGATGGTAGGGTAGAATTTGGCGTAAACAACATGAAAGCATGGATCCATCCTGCCTGGTATCAACAATTCAGGCTGGTGGTGGTGTCGTAATGGTGTGAACAGATTTCAGAACAAATTAACACAATTTGGGCCCCTTATGATCAACTAACCACTGTTTAAATGTCATAGCCTACCAGAGTACTGTTGCTGATCATGTCTGTCCCTTTATGACCAGTTTACCCAGCTCCTAATCCAGAGATTGGCAACCCTGATCCTGGTGGGTATCCAGCAAGTTTTCTATCCTACGTGATGAATTACTATCCAACTGAGATCAGGTGTGGTTCATCAGAGAACCAACAGGACAGAAAACCTGCTGGACACCAACACTCCAGTTTCTGGGTCGCCCCTGTTGTAATAGCTACTTCCAGTCACACCTCATATCTCAGACTGGTTTCTTGAACATTACATTAGGTTCATTTTACTCAAATGGCCTCCACAGTCACCAGATCTCAATCCAATAGAGCTCCTATGTTATGTGGTAGAACAAGAGATTTGCATCATGAATGTGCAGCCGACAAGTCTGCAGTAACTGCGTGATGCTATCATGTCAATATGCACCAAAGTCTCTGAAGAATATTTCAAGCACCTTGTTGAATCTATGCCATGAAGAATCAAGTTAGTTCTGAAGGCAAAAGGAGGTCCAACCCAGTACTAGAAAGGTATACCTAATAAAGTGGCGAGTGAGTGTATACTGTACGTATACAGTGGTACCTCAGTTCTCAAACTCATTAGAACTCGAATTTCTTAAAAGTCGAACCAACCAGTTTGGGGGAAAAAAAAACCTAGTACTCGATCTGAATCTCACTAGTCAAACTGTGAACGCCGACCTAAGATAACTTAGGGGAAAAGAATCACGCGGCACGTCTCTCAGCGGAAACAAAGGGTAAAGCTTCAGTCTCAGCCTCGCATTCCCTGTGATAGCATCCTGCATGTTTACACTAGCTGAATACATATATTTAGACAGTAAAAATACATTTAGACAATGATAGACAGTAACAGTATTATAATATAATAAAATACATTTTAAAATAAAGATTTCTTATTATTTTAATATTAATAATAAACCATTAATACATTTAATTATAATAATATTGTTGTGCCAAGCTGGGACGGAACGGAGGCAAAGGCGCAGACATCAGGGTATCGGGGAATACGGGGTTTAATTACAGGTAAGGCAGGCAAAACGCAGACAGACAGTACAATGACCGGACTGGGGAAACAAACTGAAACGCAGACAAAATACAGAAGACTAATGACAACAACCAGAAACAGCTGATCACACAGAGATTCCACACGCGGCTAACGAGGGGGCGTGGCACAAGGATGGAGCGGACGATCGGAGCAGGACACATCGTTTTATTTTTTTAACTTTACACATTGGATACATTTATTTTCTTACTTTACAAATTACTGTTTTGATAAATGTCCTTAGATGCGTTTAGTACAGTATATGCTCTTCTTGTTTTATCCAGTTCATTTTGTGTTTAAATGCTAAAAAAAACTTTTTTGGGGTGTAATTTTTTGGGGCAGGGAACCAATTAATTGGTTTTCCATTATTTATGGGGAAAATTCGATCAGAACCCAAACTTTTTAGGATTCGATCCGGAGTTATGAACGGATTAAGTTCGAGATCTGAGGTACCACTGTATATTATACGTACATATATGCTCTTCAAATCCAGCAACTCATTATTGTCCAAGCCACTCGGCTAAGTCTGGTGGTTCCATAAAAGGGGACGTGGTTAGGGCTTTAAGATGACATCACCATTAGGGGTGTGACCTTGCCAACTTCCTCTTCCTGTCAAATCAAAATTCTAGTCAAGATTAAAAGACTTTTCCCTGAAACTCTGGAAGATGTGTGTACATTTTTGCTCTGTTTTTTTATTGTTACGTTGTTTGAGTCTGCAGGGAGGTATGCAAACATTTAATTTTATCTGTACAAATTATGAAGCCTTTGAATCTTTGACTGTCACTATCCTTACACGTCAATCTTGCCTCTAACACAGGTGACAAATGGCTTCATGCATCCAACCATAACCATGTGTGAGAGGACGTGGAAACTAAAACGCAGCCATGGGGGGCGACACAGTTTTTAGCCTCTGCTCATTTTATTAAGCTGTGAACGTTTTAAATACAATGACGGGGTCTGTAACTGGGGAGCGAAGTCAAATAGCGTCGACCTGTAAACAACGTGTTGAGAATTTTCCGGAAAGGTGTCTGCAGCATCCGCATGAGAAAGAGACTCCCTACATAATCACAGACATTTAATTAAACATTCAGAAACACAATTAAAAAAGAAAAGAAAATTAAGCTCTCATTTGTTGTCTTTTTATCA